GGCTTGGATGAGTCCAATGACCGTTGTGTCATCAGCAAACTTTAGGAGCTTGACAGAGGGGTCCTTCAAGATGCAGTCGTTGGTGTAGAGTGAAAACAGCAGAGGGGAGAGCACACATACCTGGGGGGTGCCTGTGGTTATTGTCCAGGTGCTGGATGTGGTTTTCCCCAGCCTCATCTGCTGCTTCCTGTTTGTCAGAAAGCTAGTAATCCACTGACAGGTGAGGGCAGGCACAGTGAGCTGGGTCAGTTTGGAGTGGAGGATGTCCGGGATGATGGTGTTGAATGCTGAGCTGAAATCCACAAAGAGGGCCCGTGCATACGTCCCTGGGGAATTGAGGTGTTGTAGTGTGTAATGCAGTGTCATGTTGACTGCATCGTCCACTGACCTGTTTGCCTGGTAGGTAAACTGCAGGGGGTCTAGCAGGGGGTCTACGGTGTCCTTCAGGTGGGCCAACACCAGTGTCTCAAAGGACTTCATAACTACAGATGTCAGGGTGACAGTTCTGTAGTTGTTCAGTCCACTGATGAAGGTTTTCTTGGGGTCTGGGATGATGGTGGAATGTTTGAAGCAGGAGGGGACTTCACACAGCTCCAGTGACCTGTTGAAGATAAGTGTGAAGATGGGGGCCAGTTGATCAGTGCACACTTTCAGGCAGGAGGGTATATTTAGTCCCAGATCTGTGATTCCTAATGGCTGGCTGGAGATCACATACTTTTATGAAAATAATCTTTCTAAATTATCACACATATTTCACAACTGAGATAATCTAAAAATAAATTATTCACAGTAAATTCCACCAGATCAGTTGTGGATTTAAGGGCTTATTTTAAGTTTGCCTGGCTGTTAAAATACATTTATGGAAGATACTCCCCACCCAGAGACTCTTGTCAGGAATGTTGTAATGCACCTGTGATTGCATTATAATGGGGTCTTAACAGGTGACATCGCAGTTTCTATTTCGGGTCAAACTGAGGACTAAAATAAGAGCATGTTGCCTAATCTGCATAAATGCAGTAATCCATACTCATCATATGCAAAACATTTGGATACACTGTTGATTTAAGTCACAAGTCCATGACCTTAATATATGAGCATGACACAGGTTTAATAGTCTGATCCAAAATATTCTGACTTTAATCTCAGAATTTTATTTTATTTATTTTAGCAAAGCACCAAAATGATGTAGTAGTTTAAAATGGATTTAGTCATGTTATTATGCAACACTGCCCCCTACCTGTTTGTAGGATCCACTGCTGGTAACATCTCTCATGGTAATGAAACACAAGATTCAACCACAGGCTATGATTTATTCATTTAGTATTAAAAGAATACATGATGGTAACTACTGTGTTTTTGTAAAAGATTTTTTGGACTACATCTTACCCTTGAATATAACTTGATCCTAGTTAATTTTGGACAGTAGTGCTTTCAAGTACAGTGATGAAGAGCACAGTGCCTAGGTTAATCTCAATATTTTCTATTACTTACAGGCAAATTTTAAGTGCTTTGAAGGTATATTTAAAACCTGAATGATGAATCTGATTACAAGTATTTAATCTATGCTGACTCCTGTTCATTTGTACAGATGTATAAGCAGTAAGTATAGATTTATTCAGTAAATAGACCTCATTTAACCTCTACTTATTTTTATACATTTCTACACAAAACATTGCCTCCTCTTGCACATTAATAGTAATATTTAGGTTTAAGAGAGGAGAGAGGGTGTTTTCTTACCTTCTGCTTTCACATACAGTATTGCCATCTAATATGAATGGCAGTTGTATAACCACTTTTTATCCCTTATGATTTGCAGTTCTGCTTCACATAAACACGTGACTGCATCTGCATTATGGGTAAGTCTATGAAGTAAAATACACACTGAGAATGAAAACATAAAAGTATAGCACTATAGACATGAGATTTTGCATGAAAATAATTTTGATGTTAAACAGGTGAAAGAATAAGAAAACTGCAGGTGTTTTATTTGTTACAGCAATCAAGGAGCACATTAAACTTTTCACAGACATTATGCTGAATGTAAAGATAATTCAGGTAACGATGATGCAGAATATGAAATCAGTAGGACTTCTGTGAAGCAGAGAAGCCAACTAAGACAAATTTATTGTATCCTGAGCTGCATCTCAGTCAGTTATCTTGCAAATACCTATAAAGCATCAATGTATGAAACTCCATCATATTATCCGTTCACATGTTTGGGGGTTCTTCGTGATTATGAAAGTGAGTTCAATACAAAGTCATTATGTTTTTATGATATGAGCAAATGTGGTCAAATTGAGATCAGACTGAGAATTTTCCAAAAGTTTTAAGTCTTAAGTCTTAAATGATAAACATTCAAATGCAGAATAAAAGTGACACAGACTCAACAAAGAAGCAAAAAAACTCTAGTGACAAGTCAGTTCACTTAGACTGTGTACATTTGTTATACTGTATCACAGTCAGGATGTATATATTTGAAAACTATTCACTAGATATTAATTAGATTTTGTGTATGCAATTTGATTTTGTGTATGCAGTAAGGGTAGTTTTTCACTCTTTTATGATTTTTTTGGTGTTTATGAATATTTGAGGAAGTCAAAACAAAATGAGAATAGATAAAACAATAAGTCCTACTTATCATGAAGACACATTTGCATTTATCTTAATATTTCCATGTGTAATAATATTTTGCACATAGACACAAATGGATTGCACACAGTGTTTCATTCAGTGTCAGTAGATCAGCATTTACAGTGATAAGTCTCATCAGCCCAGATTAATGTGCTTCACTCACTGTTGAGGGTCTGTGTGGTGCTGTAGCAGAACAGTCTGCTCAGAGGTGACACAATGTTTGTAAAACAGTGTAAAAATGACCATTGACTGATACTTCCAGCCCTGTCTACAGGATCTTGACCTCCCGGGAGTTATCCTGCAGTATTCTGAGTGTGATGATGAGTTTTATAGCTTTTCTAAACCAGGGATAGAACATGGCATAAATCAGAGGGTTTAGACAAGAGTTCAGCATCGGGATCCACAACAATATGGGATAATAGGACAAGCTGGTGGAGGTGTTCACACCTGCAAGAATGGGATAATAGTATGGACAGTAACACATTAGAAACACAACTATCAAAATCCCCAGAGTCCTGGCTGCCTTGGGCTGTGATTTCCTAGCAGTTGGAGCTGCTCT